ACCCCAGTGTCCTGCACCCGGCGGCCCCCCAGCAGCGTCGCCCCGGTGCCCTGCAACCCAGGACCCCCCCAAAGTGCTGCCCTGCGCCCTCCCAGCAGCACCCCCCTGGTGCCTTGCCCCCCGGAGCCCCCCAGCAGCACCATCCCAGAGACCCCTCGAACTCCCACCCTGGGGTCCAGCACGTCAGAGCCCCCCAGGAGTCCCACCCTGGTGCCTGGTGCCCCCGAGCCCCTCAGCAGCACCAGCCTGGAGTCCCCTGGCAGTTCCACTCCAGGGTCCTGCACCTCAGGGTCCCCCAACAGCACCCCAGAGCCCCCCAGCAGTATCCAGCCAGTCCTGGGGCCCAGCACCCCGGCGTCCCTCGGCAGCACTGAGCCAGCCCCCCTGTGCAGCCTAGTCCTGGGGCCCAGCACCCCAGAGCTCCCCAGCGGGATCAAGCTGTCCCCCTTGTGCAGCCCAGCCCTGGGGCCCAGCACCCCGGAGCCCCCCAGCAGCACCGAGCCAGTCCTGGGGCCCAGCACCCCAGAGCCCTACAGCAGCACCGAGCTGGCCCCCCTGTGCAGCCCAGTCCTGGGGCCCAGCACCCCAGAGCCCCCCAGCAGCGTTCTGCCAGCCCCCCTGTGCAGCCCAGTCCTGGTGTTGTGTACCCCAGAGCCCCCCAGTGGCAGCACCACCCCAGGGCCCCCTGACATTATCAGCTCAGTGCCTTGCACTCCAAACTCCCTGGGCAGCACCACTCTAGCACCCTGCACCCCTGGGCTCCCTGGCACCAGCTCCACCCCGCGGGAAGCTCCCTTCCATGGCTGGCGAGCGGTGCCTGCTGACGTCTCCTGCAGCCCCGTGGCCCCTGAGCCCCCGGCTGGAGACGGAATTGCAGGTCCCCTGCCTTGCCAAGACACCCCTGAGGGGGCCGAGTCCCCAGCCCCTGCCCCCCTAGAGCAGGGGCCCCCTCCCACCGAGGCAGGTAGGTCGGAGCATGCCGGGTCGGATGCAACAGCCATCCCCTCGCCCGAGGTGGTCCTGGGTGCCGAGTCCTGGGTGTTGCCGCTGGCGTGGCTGGAGAAGAGCCTCAACACCTTGTCTGTGCTGGAGTCCCTGCAGCACAGTCTGCCCCTGCCCGCACCACAGCGGGTCGCCGGCACCAGCGTCACCCCCGTGCCCACAGCGGTCGCCGGCACCAGCGTCACCCCCGTGCCCACGGCAGTTGCCAGCACCTTCATGACCCCCCAGTACCTGCAGGAGAGGAGCATGAACACGTCTGTGGGTGGCCCCCCCTGCACCAAGCACAGCGCTGCTGAAACAGACTCCCTGCTCTGGCAGTAAGTGTGGGGACGTCCTCCCCCACCCCCCAGGGCTGTGGCACCTGCGGGCTCTCCCTGCCCCAAGCCTTCTCCCTGTCCCCAGCTGTCCCCAGGAGCACCTGAAGTCCCTGCCACGGGCAGAGCTGGAGGGGTGGCTGGAGAGCATCCTCATCGTCAATCAAGTCCTCTCGCTCCAGCTGCGCAGCTGGCAGGAGAGCCAGCAGCCACTGCCCGGCGTGGGGCCAGCCGAACAGAGGGATGCAGTCACGCAGACAGACATCGCCCACCTGAAGGGGGTAAGAGCTCTTGCTGGGGCGATGCCACCCCATTTTCCATGGCCTCGGCACTGTGATGGTGCCCACGTGCCACCAGTGGGTTGGTGGCCCTGGCTGGACCGCAGCCCAGCGGAGCAGACGTAAAGCAGGGCTGCTGCGGCACGGCACGGTGCTTGGCATCACGTGCCTGGCACTGGTCCGGCCACATTATTGTGCCCGGCTCAACCTGCTGAGTTTGCTGGGTTTGAATCCTTTGTGCAGGGAAACATCCCTGGCATGCGTGGGGAGGGGGGGACGGGAGGTGTCACCGCCAAATGGCTCTCACTGGACCCCAGGGTGGAGTGGGGCTGGTGCGAAGGCCCCTCTGCTCTGCCGGGATGCCCTTAGGACGAAGAGATCTACTGCAACCTCTGCCTCGAGCTGCAGAAGAAAACGGAGGCTCTGCAGCGGCAGCAGGGAGCAGAGCAGGACCTGCAGCGGGAGCTGGAGCTAACCACCGCAGAGATGGTGTGTCTCGGCTGGCTCATGTGCAATGAATGTGCTGGGTCTCAGCCTGGCAGGGTGCGCATGTGCCTGGTGCTGCCTGTGCCGGCCCCGGGAGCACTGCCTGATTGCTGGTGCCCTTGTCCCTTCCCCAGAGTGCCTGGAGCAGGCAGTGCCTCCTGTTTCGGGGCCATGCGGGTGCCGTGTTTCAGAGCTTGCAGGATAAGCAGGGAGCCCTCGACCGGGAGGTGAGCCCCCATGCAGCTGGGCTGGGCACTCTTCCCCCTGGGTTTTGGGAGACGTCGGTGCTGCTGGCACCCACGGCAGCCGTCGGCTATAGCTGGTGCCTCCTGGTGCTGTCTCCCCTTGCAGCAGGAGCAGGTGAGGGCCCTGGTGTTGCGGTGCCAGGCTGTGCTGGAGAGCGTGCCCGGCAAGCTGCAGAGCTGCCTGGAGGAGCGGGACGCCATGAGGCAGCGAGTGGACGAAGCCCTCCGAGCCAAGGAGGAGGTAGGGGGGCAGCCGGTGGGGTGGTCAGAGCAGGCTCTGCTGTCCCTGTGCCTTTGGTAGGGCGTCCTGCCTCTCTGCCCGTCTCTGCGAAGGGGGAAGGTCTCTCTGGCGCCTGGGGGGAAAAGCCTGATGTGGCCCTGGAAGGCCAGGGGGGCTGTGGCTGCCTGGGGTGGCTGGAGCTCTTGGGATGGGTTTTTGGCTTGGGCTGTGTCCTGCTGGGAGCTGGAGCCCTGGGCTGCAGCAGCATGTGGGGATGGCTCCTGGGAGCTGCCCCTTGTGCAGCCCCGTGCCCAGAGCAGCATCCTTCCTGCGGCAGGCCGATGGCTTCCTGGAGTCCTTCCGTGCCCATGCCAGTGCCCAGATCAGCGCCCGCGACCAGAGCCTGGCCTCCCAGCGAGAGCTGGGGACGCTGCTGGTGGAAGCCATCGACCAGCAGGTACCGAGTGGGTGGGCACCTCCGACTGCCTCCCCCCGGGGCCCAGAGGGGCTGGAAGGGTATCCCCATGTCCTGGGCTTGGGTGATGCTCTGAGCAATGGTTGGCAATGGGCTTGGGTCCATAAGAAGTTTCTTGATGCTGCTGCTGGGAAGCTGCCGCAGATACAGCCTTGGGGCTGGCGCTCGCCTCCCTCCACAGCCATGGAATGTGGCTCTTCCACTGCGGCAGCACTGACCCGTCTCTCCTGCCCCGCAGGCATCCCTGGCTGCCGAGACTCAACATTCCCGGGAATTCATAGACATCACCTTTGAAAAACTGGAGGAGGAAAGGAAAGCCCTGGACACGGAGGTGAGGGGTGTCCCCGTGAGGGCCAGCAGCAGGCTCAGCCCCTTGCCTCCGTGCTGGCGCAGTCCAGGCTGGTGCCACTTCGCTCTGTCTCGGAGCACTTTGTGCCCTGGGTACTGCAAGCAGCCTGGCTGCCAGACCTGTCCCTGGTCATGCAGCCGGGCAGAGCCACCAGCCGGCGTGGCCGTGCCGTGCTCAGTGCTGCCCAGCGCCATCTCCCCTTGCAGTGGGAGCAGGCGAGGGCTCTGATGTCCCGGTGCCAGGCTGCCCTGGAGAGTGTGCCCGGCAAGCTGCAGAGCAGCCTGGAGGAGCGGGACGCTATGAGGCAGCGAGCAGAGGAAGCTCTTCAAGCCAAGGAGGAGGTAGGAGATTGCCTAGTGCTGAGTGGTGCCTGGGATGCTTCCCTGCTGCCCGGCTACCCCCAGGCACAGGAGGACTCGAGGCACCCTTGGTGTGGGAACACCCCATGGGGAAGAGCAGCCCAAAGCAAGCCTGGAGGGCACGATGTCTCTGCAGGCGTCCTGCCAGCTGGAGGAGACCTCAGTGGCCCTGCAGGACGCAGCGGCTCAGCTGGAGCAGCTGACAGTGGCCAACTCGCGCCTGAGCGCAGGTAGGTGTGGGTGACGTGGGGGGCTGGAGCTGTCCCTGTCCTCCCTGCGCTGACGGCTCTGCCCCTCACAGACCTGAGCTCCCTGATGATGAATCTGGCCAGCCTGGAGCAGGAGAGGGATGCGCTGCAGCAGGAAAACAAGGAGCAGTGGGAGGAGATGGCCCGGTGGGTCTGAGCCCTGGGGCAGGGCATTGGTCCCTCCATAGCCACCTCCTGCCACCCCTCACCCCCAAAACGTGGCACCCCCTGACCCCGTCCCCTCCCCACAGGCTGTCGCGGGAGAGGAGCACCCTGCAGCAGGAGTGCAATGGGCTGTACCAGGAGCTGCGGGAGGCCACCGAGTGCCGGGAGGTAGGAGCTGCCTGACCCTGCCTGTGCTATCGCGTGCTGCCAGCCCCCGCCACGGCCTCGTGGGAAGGCCGGCCAGGAGCGGGATTAGCCCTCCTGCGGGGGGGTGAGCGCGGTGAGGGCGGCTGACATCCTGCACGTAGCGCTGCTTTCTATCCTGCCCGGCGGCGACTCCCGGGGAGAGGGGGCGGCTCTCTGGGATAATTCCCCTGGCTGCAGGCGTGGTGCCATCTTCCAGCATGTCCTATGTCCCTGATAAACTGCCGGTCTCCAGGGGTTGGTCTGCTGGGGTAAAACTGCCCCTAATTGGAAACAGCACCCTGAGGCACGGGAGGGACTGTGCCGGGGGTCCCAATGGGTCCCCTCGGGTGTCAGCAGGTGTTTATGGCTGTGTCCCCCCACCCTCTTGCAGTTCCTCAACCAGGAGAACCACGTGTCCCGCACGCAGCTGCTAGAGGTGGAGGCCAAGCTGAAGTCCTCTCAGGCCGCCCTGCAGGAGTGCAGCATGCAGTACGAGGACCTGATGGACTCCCACCAGCGCCTGCGGTACCGACCCCACTCACCGCCTCCACTTGAACCCCTCTATTTTTGGGAAATCGAGCCCATCCTGGGAGGTGGGGGACACACAGGGGGACATGGCTCCAGTCACTGCTGCCCCAGCCAAGTGTGGTTGCCCAGGCAGGTGGAAGAGGCTGTGGGGAAGCCCAGCAGACCCCATCTTGGGGGAAGCTACCTAAATCTATGGGTTTTGCACCCCCCTGGGCCACAGTGGGAGGCAGGCATGGGAAATGTCCCTGTCCCACACTGAGGAGTGGGAACGCTGCTCCTACTGAGGCTGATGCCATCCTGCAGGGAAGAGCAGGCTGCCCTCGGCAAGGAGCTGGAGAGCACCAAGGCTGAGCTCCTCGACTTGCGGCTCAAGAGGGACAAAATCTCCTGGTGCTCCACAGACATCGCTGAGAGCAAGATGTGGCTGCGGGAGCTCGCTGACTGCCTCAGGGCTGCTCTGCAAGCAGAGGTAGGAGCTCTGCCCCAGGGACAAGGACGAGGGGGTGGCCTGGGGGGGTGTCAAACCCCTGTGGCTCTCCATGGCGTGGCTTCGAGACCCCCGTGCTCACCAGGGCAGCACAGGGCTGTCACGAGACGCGCTCCTGCACTGTGCTCTCCCTCCCCTCCGAAGGATGACGCCCCGTTGACAAGCAGAGCCTGGACACCGGGCTGGCAGACACCACACCGTGCCTGGACCCCCGTCTGCCGCATGCCGTCGTGCCGCACCCCATACCGCGCCGGGGCCTCCTTCGTGGGCAGCGTCCTGAAAGCGGTGTCAGGGAAAGGTGAGCTGGCACCCGCTGTCTGGGTGGTGGTGGGGGTCGCTCCCACCTGTGCTGGGGATGTGCACTGGTGCTGAGCGAGGAGGAGATCCTGGTGCCATCCCCATGCCTTTCCCTGTGGATCCCCTGGTTGTTCCCTTGTGGCAGCCATGGGTTGGGTCACATGTGAGTGACCGGGGTCTTCTCTGAGCTCCCCGGGGCGGACAGGTGCCTGGGTGAGCTCTGGTCGTGCTCCCCGCAGCATGCAGGGCTGGGCACAGTGCCTCTGCCATCTCCTCTCACAGATGCCGATGAAGCTGCCGGAGGTGGGAATGCATTTACCAAAGACAAACCTGCCTCTACACCAAAGCCGATAGGTACTGGGGCTATCACCCTGCCCTGGACCCTGCTGCGAAGCTGCAGGGCTGCCCGCACAGGGGAGAGAGCAGGCATGCCTTCCTGCTTGGCTCCATGTCCCCTGGGGCTGACGTTACCTCCGTGCCGCTCACGAGCCTCTACCCTGCCCGCAGAGCCTGAGGATGGTCTGCTGGAGAGCATGAAGGAGCTGAGAGCTGTGGTCTCCGACCTTGCCATGCTGAGCTCCCGCATCCAGGACCTGGAGCAGAGCAAGTTTAAGGCGCTGCAGACGGAGCTGTGAGTTCAGCAG